TAACATTGATTTATGTTGTGGCTAATTGCTTAGCAGTACCTTTCCTCAACTTACGTTATTTTTTTTGCACATTGTTCAGCTTTTCTTTTCGCTAACCACTGCAATTCTTTGGCTTGTGAATAATTAGCTACATATATTTGCATATGTTTAAGCTTTAGGCTAATGCTGTTCCATCTTGTAGCCACCATACAGCCATTCTCTTGTTGGTCACTGCTAGCTCACACAGATATTCTGCACCAGACACGTTCGACCGTGAAATCATCCACGCCTTGTTCTCGTACTGCGCACGGTGCAACACCCAACCCCCCAATGTTTCTTTACTCACCAATGATGGCCTCCCATTTTCCATTGGCCTGTGTGACCTCATAGGCACAGCGCATCTCGCTGAAGGACACGCCACCGATGATGAAGACCATGACTCGTGGACCTGTGCGGTACTCTCCAGGTGTTTTATTCTTGTGCCATTGTCCGTACCGAGCACTGCAACAGCAGAGAGTCAAACACAGTTCAGTCCAGGTCTTTGTTCTCACTATGACACAGATTTCCTGGCGTGAAAAAAATTCTGTCCCCAAGGGGGAACCACTGATTTAAGGAAAAGGTTGTGTTTGTTTACAGAGCATGTTTTCGAGCAGCGCCACCCTATGTCCATAATGAAACCAACTTTACCAGTGCCGTGAGGTTTCCCCACAGATAGTTGGGGATTTTGTAGGGGCCTCTACGTACTAAGCCCTGTAAAGCTCAAGTGATTTTTTTTTTAAAAATGTCGTTCCTGTTTTATAACATTGTGAGCAACGATCAATGAAACCACGTGTACGATGTCAGTCAAAATTGTGAACACGAATTCGTTTAACGCAGCCTTGATTTAGATAACGTGCTCACGTGAGCATTATTAAACAATTTAATCATTTAATATTAAGACGAATAATTTAATATTAACACGATTTTGTAAAATGAGTCCATGATTTAGGAAAACAAGCGTACGATCTATTAAAATGAACAAGCGCTCCACTTCAAAGAGTGCGTAGTCAAGGATATTTCTAATGTGATGTTTTTCAGTATTCAAACGTGTTCATAAAAAAATGTAAATAAAGAGTGATTCTTCTGTCCATGGTGAGGCTTCGGGGCAGGAGCTTTTTTTTTTTTTTCACTGATGAGTATTGATCCACCAGCCTCACCTCCCTGCTACCATCACTATTGATTATTGACCTCCATTTTTGTCCAAAAAAACCACAAATGCTGAGTCACAGACTCCACTTTCATTCGTTATCTTCCCATTTTTTGGGGGCAATTTTGACCATTTTTACTCAACAGTACAGGGTAGAAATGGTCTATAAACACCACAAATGGTCTATAAACACCATGTTATACCACAACAAATGGTCTATAAACACCATGTTATAGGAATAATATTGACGCATGAGCTGCATTAGCGCGTAAAAACAAGTATATGTGTATGTGTGTTGGCGGGATGCGTCTACCTCACTGCAGTGGTGCTGAAGGAGGCAGAGGAGCGGGTGGAGATGTAGGGGTAGTGCTTGGTGTCCAATTTGTCTTCAATGGCATCCTGTAGGGGGCGATAAAACATCTTAAAAGTCTTAAATTTTCTTAATGGGATCACATTTCAGATGCAGTTCATAAAATCAATTGTCATTAAAACAGTGATTTCTAAGATGAGGGGTAAGGCCCCTTTGGGGGCAAAGTCATTGCAGAAGGACCTTTTCCCAAAGTGACTTTATTTTTTTTTGTTCAATGAGAGAAGCTCCTTTAAAGAAATTAAAGAAAGAAGAAGTGTTTAACATGAAGACTGAAACAATAGCTTAGTTGACTTGGCTCCACAGTAGTCCCATCTGAAAAAGGGACACTGAAGAAAAATTGCGGGAACCAGTGCACTAATAGCAGATATTCATGGATTTAAGACTTAACAACGCACCTCAATAATGTCCTTGACCAGTGGTGTCCAGCGGGACAGCTGATAGGTCTGTTCGCTCACGCGCTCCTTTCTGTCCAGCTTCTTTCCTCGGCGGAGGGTAGACTGAAGACGACGAGGGGAAACGAGGAAGTCAGAAGAAAGAATCAAAGGTGCAAGATAAGTCTTTATCAGAGGGGCTGCTGCAGCCTAAGATCTTACATCTGTGATGATGGGCACACCCAGGTGGGCCATGTTAGTGATGATCTCACTGTCCTCAGGGGGGATCTGAGCATGTTGGATCAGCTTGTTCAGATTCTCCTCTGTGATGCCTGTAGTCCAAACACCAAACACAATAACAGTGAACCAAGGGACAGACGTTTCCTCTGAACTTCTACTATTGACAGACATTTTAACAGCAAGTCATATTTGGTTCTGGGTGACTTCTGGATCACCGTTCTTAAGGAAGATGTAGAGCAGGATGATGCGGATCTTGTCATATGTGCTGACGTTGGCGTCCAGCAGGATGGGAACGATGGCCCTCATGGGGTCTTTGATCTTCTCCCCCTCTGCGTCTGTCCCCATGGCCAAGTCCTGTAGAAAGAGACTCATGTCAACATCTCGAATCAACCAAATAAATGTCCATCATGCACAGACACTGGTTCGCATTCCCTATTCCTCTCACCTGTTCCACGCGGCACAGTTTGTCCACTGTTCCCTGGTAGTGCTTCATACAGTCTTCAGCCAGCTGCAGGTGAGTGGAGTACTGCAAAAGGAAGGACCAAACTGACTGGGTCAGCAAGAATATTTTCGGAAACAAACTAAGATCAACACACAACCAAAGCCACAAACGCACCTTACTGAGCTCCTTCTGGTACTGAGGCATCTTCTTCAGCATCTGAGACAGGTCCCTCATTGTAGTCTGGGGAAAAAGAGACAACAGGTGGCGCTGTAAGGTAGTATTTATTTAAAGAGTCAAGTGTCACCAACGTACTTTCAGGAGCACATTAGTAACAAGGTGTGATCTGATTCTTCACACTCCTGTTCTGAACGGCCACTTTCTGTGTCTTTAAATGGCTACCAACTGATTCACCCACTCTTAGGTGGGAAGGGGCTGATCACACCCCTGCGTTACCATGACAACAGTTGAGCAGGGCTGGTTAATTCGGACATTGTGACGGGTTCATGCTCAGTCTTATGTGTTTCCTTTTGTGAGCGTGCTCAATAATGCAGTGTATGCTATTCTGAAAGGTATGGTAAACCGCCAGGATACCAGAAAACCATCTCTGGCTGAGTCAGAGTCGGAGTTAAAAGCCCCAAGTGGTTACAAAATGTGATTAGCCGTATGGATAAAGCAAATGGATCCTAGAACAGGTCGTACAGTTGTAGTATGGGTGGTGCTAGCCAGTGTACATCGGGATTATTATAATATGATTGTCTTATCAAACAAGTACTTTGTCATTGAAACTCTACCAGACATTACAAAGACACAAATATGTGGATCAGACCCTGACAAAGTCATGCGTGATATTTTTCCTTATGGATAATCTGTGAGTCTTGAGGTCTTGAGGGAAATCATTGTTATACGTATATTACTGCTGAAGAACTACCTTCTTATTCTTACCTTCTCTCCGGTGTTCATCCTTTTGCTGGCAGAGAAGTCCTTCAGCTGACGTGTCACCTCCCTGAAACACAGCAGCACACAATGAATATGCGAGGAAAAAGATAGTATTTTTTTTTAAATATGAATATATAAGGACAAAGAGCTATACTCACTGAGAGACCTCAGCTATGTGTTTGTGTCTCAGACTGACCCATAGGTCATCGTCCTCATGAAGAAGGACCTCCTTCTCCCGAGAGTCACCCATTCCACTGGTGTCATACCTGGGAAGAACAAATACATCCCAAGAGAATAAATACACAAGAATCAATTTACCAAAAATCCCGTGTACGTGTTTTAAACTATTTCATTTTTTTATATACTGGTACATGTCATATATTTTTTATATCATACTTGTAGACATCATTTTCAATGGGCAGCAGATCATAGCCCATGGCCTGGAAGGTCAGCTCATGAAGGACAGGAGAGACAGGGTCAAAGGCTCTGTCCAGGATGATCAGCTGAGAGCGCGCCTTGTCAGGACCCTGCAGACAGGAAGACCAAATGAGACATTTGTCAACAACACGTAGTATACGAGGGTGAAAATGATGGACTGTGTAAAGCTCACCTCTCCCATGGTTGGGTCATCAGCCTTGTAGGCGTCCAGTTTGTCTTGGAGCAGCTGAGCCAGTGTGGCATTGTCCTTGTACTCCCTGACGAAAGGACACGATTATGGACATCCAGATGCTGTGTTGACATTGCTACATATCATGTGTGTATTATCTACCTAACACGTGTATATTTCTGCCTCTGTCAACAATGTTTCATGCCATTATTCTATTCCTTAGCCCAAAGGCATTAAGGCAGCCCATGTCATGGGCCACATATCCTGGTTGCAGCTTTCTTAGGGCGGCCATACACTGTATGATTTTTGAAAATCTTGTCGTTGATACCATCACACACTGTACGAGTGATGTACAGACAAAGCTCACGATTTATGTACTCACACTGTAAGGTCCGATCATCGAACACCACCAGAGAGCTCACACTGTGAGGGTCAAAACGGCCCGTCGGCCCCTGCAGACTGTCCTATCTATTGACAGCTGTCAATAAAGATTTATTTGAAAGCTCCGACACCAGTTATTAGCAACCATGCTATTCAAAAAGAAGAAGACTGCCATTAGGATTGCAGCGATACTGTGCACTGACAATTCGAAAAAGAAGAGGCGCCGGCGCATCTGGAGTCGGAGATGGCTCAATAAATATGGACAGTACGTTTTTTGTTTATGTATTATTTATTACGTTTATTGTGGACAGTGCCACAACTCTATCAATCTCACGTCCATATTTTCATGTCATCCACGCCTCGCCTCGGGGTACTGCTTCCACTGTGCGAAAGAATTTGTCGGCCGACCAAAATTTCTGACATGTCATAAATTCTTCCGCCCGTCCAACAGTGGTTCGGGAACAGATAATCGTCCCTTGTTACCCCCTGTACACTGTACGGAAAAAGACGCCTGATGAAACGTGAAATCGGGCCGAGCGTCGCCAAATCGCACGTCTCAAAAATCGGGTCAAAAACGGGCTAAAATCGTATAGTGTTTGCCCACCCTTAGCTACCTTCACAACCCTGTGCCCACATTAGAGACTTGATAGCACCCCCTGCTGCTCACCCTCGGTATCTGACAGCTGGATATTCCTTCAGGGTGGCACACAGTGTTGCTAGCTGTTCGGCCAGCCT